GGCCTTGCCCTAGTTGGGGTAGATTGGGGCAGATTGGGGCTGGGCTTATTGGGAGGAGAAAACAGCAGGAGGTTGGTCCGTTGAGCCACCCTGATTGGGACCTGATTAGGGTTGGACCAGCTGTGGGGAGAGGCCTCAGGCAATTGGCCAGCCATGGGAAAGGGCTGTGGATGGTTGGCGGACCAGCCCCACCATTGATTGGTTGTGGGGTGGGGAGGGGAATGATCAGGGTGGTGGAGGCCCATTAGGGGCAGGGCCAGGCAGGGAGAGGGGCTGAAGGTGGTTGGCCAAGCCTGCCCCACCTCCTATTGGGGGGCAATCAGGGGTGGGGCCAGCCCAGGGGTGGAGTTGCAGGTCAATCAGTGGTGAGGCCAGCCTGGGGGAAGGGCTGAGAGGGGGTTGGCTAGCCTCCCCACCCTCCCCTCAGCTGGCCCTGCCTTTGATCAGGATGGGAGAGGCTAATAAGGGGCAAGGCCTACTGGGGAGAGGGGTCATGGGAAGTCGGCTGGTAGCCCTATCCCCTGATCAGGCCAGTTTGCTAGCTGCAGTGGGCGTCACAGTGACTGGTCATTCCGGTCATTACAGCATTTCGGTCTCTGGCTTTTTATAGATAGATAGATAGATAGATAGATAGATAGATAGATAGATAGATAGATAGATAGATTATATTAAAGACTGATTTCCATAACGGGAGATAAATTGAAAATTCAAGTGTAGATATAGCTATTGAGTTGAATTGCTTCATTCATCTCTATCATCAACTATAATATACATAAGAGGTAAGAATTTTCTATCCTATTCTTAGCTCTCAAAAATGACCGAAAATAAAAATTCTTATGTGGTGAAGGAGTGGTGAAGGCATGAAGATTGTCAGTGAGTGGTAAATAAACATTAAGAATCAAAGACTATGCCAAAACCGGTTTGGCTCAGTGGACAGAGTATCGGTCTATGGACTGAAGGGTCCCAGGTTCGATTCCGGTCAAGGGCATGTACATTGGTTGCGGGCGCATCCCTGGTGGGGGGTGTGCGGGAGGCAGATGGTCGATGATTCTCTCTCATCGATGTTTCTGGCTGTCTATCCCTTTCCCTTCCTTTCTGTGAAAAATCAATAAAAATATATTTTAAAAAAAAAGAATCAAAGAGTGTTGGTAATGATTATGTAAATTGCTATGAGATACAGCTGCATTAAATATGTTCTTTTTATCCTGATGTTTCTTCCCTAGTAGATATCTTTGAAATGCTTTTTCTTTCTTGTTCTTTTGGGGTGTTTTTATATAATGACAATGTTAACTAAAGGTCATTTTGTTAAAATAATTTTCTGTAACTTTTAATTGACAAATAGGAAAGTGACAGATGGAGAAACTATGAAATGCTATTAATTTTCAGTTACATGATTTCTAAGAGTGTGGATTTTGAAAAAAATTACTAATAAAAAAAATAATTTATTTTTGTTGGGAAAAATTACAATCACTTAGACAATTCTAAGGTAAGGTAAAAAACATGAATGATTAAAATATTGTTTTTTTTAAAAGTATTAGCCTAAAGTAAAATATTCAGTTTAATATATCTGTATACATTTATATATTATTTAAAAATAGAAGTGTTTAAAAATGCAATTATAGATGAGGTTAAAATACTTTATTTTTGCAAGTTAATTATCAGTATAAAATTCTTTAAAACATCACTTCTATGAAAACCTTACATTTATTATAGATGATATTTGAATTAGTTATGAATTATGCTTGGCATATTGAATTTAGATTCAGAAATGGTTTGGAGGTTGTTGAATGGTAAAATGTCAGCCTAAAATGAATGTTTTACATGAAATATTGTGAAAATTTAATTCAATCTTCTATGTTTTAGATTTATAAGAAATTAATTAAATAATTTTAAATTATTTATATATCTACTTCTAGCATAATATGATAGATTATTTCAGTGCCAAGTCATAATCATGGAGTGAAATAATATAATGTAGTAGATAGCATGTGTTAAAAGCAGTACTGTAAGCCTATTTTAGTTAATTTTGAGATGGTAGTCCCTACAATGCATATGAAATTAAATTAAATAAAGAATATGTTACTTTATTATTTAATAGTAGAGGCCTAATGCACAAAATTCGTACACGGTGGGGGAGGGAGGATCCTCAGCCCAGCCTGCACCCTCTCACAATCCAGGACTCCTCGGAGGATGTCTGACTGCTGGGTTAGAGGGATGGACCTAAACCGGTAGTTGAACATCCCTCTTGCAATCTGGGACCTCTGACTCCTAATTGCTTGCCTGCCTGCCTGAGTGCCTCTAACCCCTCTGCCTGCCTGTCTGATGACCCCTAACTGCTCACTTGTCTGCCTGATTACCCCAAACTCCTCTCTGCCTGCCTGACGACCCCTAACTATCTCTGCTTTGGCCCTCGCCATGGCAGCTTCATCCAAAAGGATGTCTGGAATAACATTCAGAAGGTCATTTGGCTGTCTGGTCTAATTAGCATATTACACTTTTATTATTATAGATTATTTTCCTAAATAAGTATTTTAGAGGCAGAATAGCTCTAAAAATAGCTCTGTTGAACCTAATCTCTAAGTATTTGTTTTCAGAAAATAATTCTTACAACTTTTGTTTTACTAGAGAGGATGAAATTTATAACCTTCATATATCAGAATTATTGAAATAGAATTTGTTTAAAATTATCTGAAAAAGATTTGTCTTCATATATGTAACAAAGAAATTTGTTGGAAATATTTACCTATTGAAAGAATATCTTATAAATCAATTTTTCACTATTCTATAAATCACCTTGAGTTATTTTTAAAGATAACACATAAAATAATGATGTTTTTGTACAAGTAATCAAAATATAGTCGATGATATCTTTATTATTAAAAGATAACTATCATGTCTAGCAAATTATAAACTTGGTAATTACTTTCAAAATCTAGAACTAATGGTCCATGCGTATCTCACCTGTGTATATAAACAACAGTCAATACCATAGTAAGTAGGAAGATGGAGGTGCTAGACTACTGTGTGAATGCGTTTTCGCTCAACAAACCATTTCATCATACACTGTATTGTAACGCAGAAGAAGCTACATGAAATGCATTAAAGCAATTCCATATCATCCACGTCTCTCAACAAATCACATATGTTCAGAAATATTTTGGCATGTCTCAATATCACTCCAGGACTAATGTAATGATATCATAAAGGGAAAAGCAACTAAGACTTTCAGGCCATGCATACACCCACGCATACGCAGTACTGGAGATAGGCAGTATGAGCAGGTGCCGTGGGTAATGTGCACACAGCAGGCTATGACAGTGTGGGGTGGGGAAATGTGCACACAAGAGCAAACTTTTATTCTTCCACAGTAGACAAAAGGCTCACTTGAAACTCCATAGAGGATCAAGTAAGTTATTAAAGATTATCTGCAATGCCTAAGTCATTTGCCTATGCCAAATTAAAACTTTTCTAGGAGTAATATTTACATAAGTATAAAGTCTCTCTGTGACAGACTTTTCTTTTATATAATTAGGCTATTGTATTTTGCCTATTCTGACAAATTAGAGTTAAAGAAAAAAATATCAGGTAAATCAGTAGTACTCATGAAAAGAAAGGGCACAGAATTAACTTTTAGACTCATTATGCTGATTTAAAGATTTAGATTGATAAGATTGTTTCCAAATAGTTTTTGTTTGTTTGTTTTTAACGAGGAATTTAGGTTCAGAAAATTGTCTTTTAAAAATTAAAATGATTAATGCAAAATTTTCATGACAATTATTATAAAAATAAATGGAATGCATTTAATTTTCAATAAATTTGCTTGAAAATCATTTTGTTTTAAAAATAATTCAGTATTGACTGCTACTATGGTAAACCTGATTTTTCATCAAAGTTTTTTTTGTATTTTTAATAAAGGAGTATTTATCGTTTATACTAAAGCTCCTATAAGCATTGACTATTTAGTGACTGGAAATTGAAATATATACCTCTCCCAAAGAGATTATTTAAATGTGATTATTTAAATTTAATGCAAATAATAATGTTTCAAATTTACAGTTAAAATAATTAAGTAAAGGTAACTGAGTCATGTAAAAAAAGAAGTAGCTAGCTATGTTGAGAACAAATGTGCAATTTTAGTAGGAAAAAGAAAGAGTTGAGAGATTATATATTATAATATAAGAAAACTTAACTACTTTAAAATAATATTGGGTCTAGATATCTGCTATAAAATTTAGATTACTTTAATATTCATCTAATATTATGTCTATTGTCCATTCATCTAATATTCTGTCTATTCTTAACTAAAGCATGTGGTAGAAACATCTGCAGAGGTTTTTTTAAAAATACTTTTTTTTCTCAGAAATTTTAGTTTAGTGGACTGGACTATTTGTATATGATTTCCTAGACTAAATTCTTGGCTTTGGTAGGTTTAAATTCAATCACTGAATTTATACCTGTATCCTTGTAATCTCTTATCAAACATGTCAATAGATGCCACTATCAAAACCAAAATTATTCACTTACTATACTATCTTAACATATCTTAACATTCAGAATATGTCCTAAAAGACAAAGCTTTTTATTTTAGCCTGATTTTTAGATTTCTGTTTTCTGGTAAGAGGAGCTGCTTTTCAATTTTTTTTATAAATAAATTTCCCATTTATTTGAAACTTATTTTGTCAAAGCATTCTTTTATGGAGACTACAATAAGGTATATGTAATACTTCTGTTTAATATATATTAAAAATTTTTGACTGATCACATAACTTAGTTAAATAAGATGAAGGCGAATACTTACATATCCTCTTACTGAGTGAGGGAAGACAAATAGAATTATTAGAAAATGATGGTATTCTTAGCTGAAGGGGGATGGTGGTGTTTTTGCTTTAAATACACAAAGGGATGTTTCCCCACCAAACACTGCCTGTGTGCAGAATATGCGCTCTGCTTTTTTACCGATGATCACATTCCTCCACTTAGAGTTAAGAAAATGAATTTACCGTGTCTGAGAAACGGTAAAACTTCTCCAGTGCATAAGCTTCTGTCTGGGATTGAGAAACCAGAGAATCAAGCATACATGATTAAATATAATTTCACAATTGGTTTTAATTACATATACCATTTTAACAATCATAAATCAATTAATAGATTTTTCACATATGCAATGTATCCACTTCCCAAAGTATGAAATGAGCTAAACAAAACAAAACCCTGGATTTTATTATTTTTTTCCCTGAACTAAATTTTAATTACAATATTTGCACATGGTGTATTTCAAATAGTGGTTAGAAAATAATAAGATATTATTTTTGTTTTTCTGCATTTTTCTAGAGTGCCAGTTATTAGAAAATTAATCTTGTTGTCTTTCTTTGAGCTGAAGAAGGAATGCCAAACATGTGTATCCCAATAGTCTTACAGGTGGTAAAACTGAATAAAGAACTTCTACGGATAATTTTTTAAAAGGAGGAACCAGAATTGAGCAAGTAAACTTGTAGTCTTTTATGTTATCCACTGGACATTGTGACTGCTTGACATGAGGTGGAAGTAGAAAATGTCCGAGCTCTTTGCCCCCATGTGGACACCACATGTGTAATACTTCTCATTTCTAGAGTTTGCAGTACATGGTTAGACATTTTAAATTGTAGAAAGGAAGAGAAATGTAAGGAAATAGAAAGTAAATGTGGAAAAGCAAACAAAACTGAGAAGGGAAAATAAATAAATGTTGCCTTACTTATGATTAATGAGAATAGAAGGAGAAACTGTCTTCAGCAACCATTAAAGGGAAACACAAGAGCTTCAGCCCTGGGATTCAGTGTTGTTTTGTCCTGTTACCGTGTTTCAGCCAGTACCAGGTGTCAAGAGAGAGAAAGGGGGCACAAACAGCTAGTAAGGGAGGCAGAATAAGGGGAGGAAAAGAATGAGGATGAACTAGAAAAGTTTAAGAAAACTAGCTGACAGGGACGAGGTCCGGGTAAGGAGATGAAAAAAATTACTCTCCCATCAAAATATGTTTTCATGTATAAATTATATGCTTTCCTTTTCATAACAATTTCATCAAATGCGAGATCTAGCTTTTTTTTTTTTTTGTCCAGTGAATTAATTACTCAGTATATCCCAATGTTGATGTTTCTTCCATGCTGCACTGAATTGGATATTTATTGGAGTAGTGGTGATTCTCGGGAGTCAATTAGACAAGCCTGAGTAAGTTATTGCTTTAGAAGATGACTAATACTGAGTAGGCTCAGCACTGACAGATCATGGCTTAGTGCTTTGAAAGGTTTTATGAATCTATAAATCATAGTCAATAATTCAGAAACCAGAAGGAATCCTTTAAAAAATTAAATTCTTAAAAATGTGCACTATAGAATTATAAAATTTTTCTATTGTTTAAGACTCCAATTTCTTTAAAAATATTAGCTGGCACATTTTCATTAAAGAAGTAAATATGCTGGCCAATAGAAACTCTTCCACACAGAAGAGGAAAGGGGTTATGGCATTGCCAGTCTTCATAGGGAGGAACAACCCCATTCTATACATCCAAATCCAATCAGGAGATCACTTCCTGTGGTCTCCCAATGATGTTCTAAATAACATTTCTTCTAGGTTTAAATTATTAGGTTGATGGACAAAAATAACACTATATTGTGTTTCCCATGGGAATTCAGAAGAAATGTCTTTAAAACATGAAAGTATGCATCAAAAAAGACCTCTTAGTTCTACATGAACATTGAAGTGTTAATAAACAGGTAATATTTGATGGAAACAAAATAATTCATTAAAAAAATAAACAACTTTAATTGCTCTATTTGATGATTTGTGTGAAGTAAAACCACCAAAAACCCTCTAACATTGCAAATAAGAAATGATACATTTTTGTTAATGAAAGCAAAAACTGGTGTCTTTTCAGGAAATACACTAGAAAGAAGCTGAGAAAGCTCCCTTGTCAACAGTATAGCTAGATGTCGCCATTTTCTTCCTGAAGCTATTTTTGACAACTTAAATTTCAGTTGGACAAAACCAAAGGAACATCATATCACTTTGTCCCCAGTATCCACTTCCTCTCTTCACTTCCTATTAAATATAACAGCCCTTGCTGGTTTGGCTCAGTGGATAGAGCATCAGCTCATTGACCAAAGGGTCCAGAGTTTGATTCCAATCAAAGGCACATACCTGGGTTTCAGACTCATCCCCAGTAGGGGTTGTGCAGGAGGCAGCCTAACAATGACTTTCTTTCATCATTGATGTTTCTATCTCTCTCTCCCTATCCCTTCCTCTCTGAAATTATATATATATATATATATATATATATATATATATATATATATATATTATATATATATATATATAACAAATTCACTTTTTAGTGAAAGTTGGTATCCCAGTGAACCCAATGCATTTAATTGCTTACCTTATTCTTTCTCTTTCGTCGAAATCTCAGAAGTTCTTTGTGCTGTCTTGATACAAAATTTACAGCTGCATATTCCAGAAGTGCTGAAAACACAAAAAGGAGGCATACTGCCATCCAAATGTCAATAGCTTTGACGTATGATACCTAGTCAAGGGAGAGAGAGAGAGAGAGAGAGAGAGAGAGAGAGAGAGAGAGAGAGAGTGAGAGGGGGAAAGGACAAATTGACTTGTATTATTACTTCCATTGAGAATAAAGCCGAATATCTTATTCTAAAGTATAGCATGTATATACCAGCTTGAGGGGAAAAGGGAAATGGCACCAACACATTTTTTCCCTTAAGAATTTTTTCAGACTTTGCAAGTTTTATATATTAGTCATACATCAAAACACATATTTTTGTTAATTTTTTTCAAATGAGTTATTAGATAGTACATATGATGGGAAAAAATAAGATGAAATTTAATTTTACTTTTAGATTAATATAGTATAACTAGAAGCCCAGTGCATGAAATTCGTGAACTTGGGGGGGAATGGGGTCCCTCAGCCTGGCCTGTGCGCTCTCACAGTCCAGGAGCCCTCAGGGCATGTCCGGACCATCAGTCGGACATGGACATCCTTAGTGCTGCTGCGGAGGTGGGAGAGGCTCTGCCATCCAGCTGTGCTCACCAGCCATGAGCCCAGCTTCTGGCTGAGCAGCACTTCCCCTGTGGGAGCGCAATGACCACCAGGGAGCAGCTCCTGCATTGAGTGTCTGCCCCCTGGTGTCAGTGTGTGTCACAGCCACCAGTCATTCCGCCATTTGGTCGATTTGCACATTAGCCTTTTGTTATGTAGGATGCTTGAAAAGTATGAAGTCACATTGACATATACCATCATGGTAGTATAATGATGTTTACCTTTTTAGCTCCATATTTTCTTCATGAAAAAAGTGTTCTATTTTGAAATGATTTTAACCTTACAAATGTTGCAAGAACAGTAAAAAAGAACTCCCACTTCTGTAGTAAACATTTGGTTACATTTGTCTATATATCTCTATCTCTATTACAATATCTATGTCTATTTCTATATCTGTTCCTTTCTCTCTAAATTATTTGAGTCTAATATCCAGTCATGATGCTCCATTACTCCCAAATACTTACATATATTTTCTAAAGAAAAAAGAACACTCTCATACATGACTCCAATACATCCTACAAAATTAAGAAATTAATATTGATAAAACACCACCACCTAATTTTAAAACCTACTCCCATTTCACCAGTTAAGTAATGCCCCTTTTAGCAGAAAAACATTTTTCTTTTAGTTCAGGATTTTTGAAAATATATATATTTTAAATTATTTCAGAGAGGAAGGGAGGGAAGAGATATAGAAACCTCAATGATGAAAATTATTGAGCATGAAACTCAGGCATGTGCCATGACCAGGAATCAAACCATGACCTCTTTGTTCATAGTTCGATGCTCAACTACTGAACTATTTCTGCAGGGTAGAAATTGCTTTAATCTTGCTCTCAGATTAACTGGACAGTGATTTACTGTATATGGCAACTGCTCAGGAATGAAAATTTCCTTTGAGTTTTAGTATAATTTCTTGTAGTATATGTGTATGATACAGCTAAAATGTTATATGTAAGAAGTTTCAGTAAAACCATTACTTTTTGTGGAATCAGCATGAGATCTTTCTTTTTATTGCATACTTTAGGCATGCCAATTAGATGTAGGAGAAAGAATCTCATTTGCCAAGAATTAGGAATAATAATGAAAGATATTTATGATAACTATTTTTTAGGTTTTCCTAGGATGGACAGTTACCTAGAAGTTTGTTTTTCCACTAGTAGAAATAAATGTCCCTTCTCCAAGGAGATATAGTCGCAGAAAAGCAGAAAGTGAGGCTAGATGTAGGCAAAAATGCACTACTTACTTCTTTGGACCAGTGTGTAGCTACCATAGGGAACAAAATGTGACCCTTTGGACATCTGACTATTTCAATGCTGCTTATATCTTCTGTATTTTTTCCTTTCTCCTCATCTTTAATATTTGGTAAAGTTATTTTTACCCAATATCAGTCAGTGGAAATCTTGATCAAATACAGGTTGTGGTTTAAAAGAGGAAATGGCTCAATATTTGGGGAAAACTTATGGTGGAGGGAGAAGCAAAACCAGGGAGAAAACACCTTTCTGCCACCTCTCTCAGATGGCTTTTCCGGCCCTAGGCAAGCCTTTGCCCAAATCTGTTCAAAAATCCCCTGGCACTTGTGCTTACCTGAATATGCTGCATTGTAATTTATTTCTTTCTTTCTTTCTTTCTTTCTTTCTTTCTTTCTTTCTTTTTCTTTCTTTCTTTCTTTCTTTCTTTCTTTCTCTCTCTCTCTCTCTCTCTCTCTCTCTCTCTCTCTCTCTCTCTCTCTCTCTCTCTCTTTCTTTCTTTCTTTCTTTTTTTCTCTCTTTCTCTCTTTCTCTCTTTCTCTCTTTTCTTTTTTTTTCTGCTTAAACTGTGAATTCTTTAAGGGCAGATGGCATCTCTATTTTGTTCACTATGAGGAGAGTGTTTGGCATGTGTATACATATTTGTTGAGTGAATAGACAGGTAAATGAAGGTGTAAAATATTAAAATGCAAGGGAGGAATGAATCATAGATGATGATTCATATAAAGTTTCACTTTCTGGAGAAATATCTTAGATTTTCATAATTTTCTCTCAAAACCAGGTCATTTCTTCACATCTCTAATGGTGTCAACTTACATATGAAATATGCCAACAAAGGAGCTCTCTGCATTGCCTCCTGTATCTTACCATAGGTGTGACTTTTGCTGGTCAGAATGACCTCTACCAAGCAAAGGGAAGTATGCCCTTATTTTATTCCAGTGCTATGCTAAGTGGCCATCTGTTTGTAAAGCATACATTTAAATCTCATAAGTTGTGCAGTAATGCCAGAAATGTCTGTTTGCCTTCAAATGCATGCTTTCCTGGAAGATGTAATTCTGCTTCCAAAGGTCCTGCTTCAAGCTACACCATTCCTAGAAGAGTATGAGTCATAAAGCACGTGTGCGTTCCTTACCAACTGGAATGTATAGTGACAAGACACAGAGAGATTAAATCAGAAGTTTACTTTCCAGATGAATCCAATGAGTGTTTTCCATGACAGCAGACATATGCAAACATCCTTCGTGTCTGCCAGGGTTCTGCTGGTTGTGAACAGCTCCCAATTATTGAAGCTTCAAAGCCTAGTTTCCTCATTCTCTCCTCTTACCTCATTCATTCACCTCTTTTTATTCTCCTCTGCCCTCCCTGCTCCTCCAAGTACAGCAAACTCTGGATCTGGGTAGTTTGAAACTCTAAGCTCAGTAACTTTATATAGAGATAGCATTTCTTACTCCAACAATCTGTAATATACTCATAACCTATAACACACTCCCCATGGGATTCAGAATTATCACCTTTCCATCCCCTACTGCCTCTGGGCATTTTCATTCCAATTCGCTTCATCCTTCTGGAGCACCTAGCCAACAGTCCTATCATCCACTGTGCTGTTGGAAGCCTAATTCTATGTTAAGCAACCATCTCTCCTCAGTGTTATCCATTAAATACACATCCAAAATCTGTATCATGGTATATAAATTCCTTCATAATTGGCTCCCAAATTACCTTTCTTACTACATGCATTCCATTCACTTTTTTTTTCCCATTCAACATTTACTGAACATCATTGATGTATCCAAATTCTGTTCTTAGTGTTGTAGTTAAAGAGATGATCAAGACAGATAAGATCCATTCTAAATTTCTCACTTTGACCCAATGTGCTGCTACTATTCATTTACATATCTTTCTCCTTTCTCCTTTTAGGCTACTATATCCCATGAGCTAAAAACAAGAGTCGGGTCTTATTCATCCTTGTATTTATAGGACCTACCATGGTGCTCATTATACTACAGGCTCTCAAATAATGTTGATTTGATTGAACAATGTAGAGTGATTTATAATCACTGGCCAATTATGATTAGAGAATTAGTTTTAATAGCTAAGATGCCAGGGAATGTTCTTAGTAATGTCCATTGAACTACTTAAGTGTTTTTAGTAGTTGTCCAAAACTAAGAATTTTAATCCTCATAACCACTGAGAAAACTATTCCCATTTTAGAGATGTGGAGACTGAGGCACAGTAAAATAACTTGTCACGTAGCTACCATTAGAGACTAAATCTGAATAATGAAAGGACAGATTAGTGCTCTATAAAAAGGACCCTAGAGAGCTCCCGCATCCATCCCACCATCAAAGAACAAAACTAGAAGATCCCACATCTATTAACCAGAAAGGGGCCCTCACCAGACACCAAATCTGCCAGTACCTTGATCTTGGACTTCTCAAATTCCAGAACTGTGAGAAATAAATTTCTGTTGCCTCTAAGCCACTCAGTCTGTGCTATTCTGTTATAGCAGCCTGGACTAAGACAGCTACCAAATTGCACAGTTAGGACTTAAATACAACTAACCTAGCTCCAGATCCTATGAATTTAACTACTATTCTATGTCTAGTTATTAGGCTGCTTCTACTAAAGCACCATTATAAATTTATAACTGTGAACACACTATGAAAGAACACACTATATATCCTTCGTGTCTGCCAGGGTTCTGCTTGACACGAACCTCTTTAACTTTTATCTGACAGGTAAAAGTCAAGTCAGTACACAAAATATATATTGTAAAGTCCTCTATATAATACTTTTTGGGTTTGATCCTAAAATTGATAATCAACTTCCTAGCATTGTATTTATCATATAAAAGCAATCTAGTTGCTTTAGGAGAGCAACATTAGATCAGGGAAACATTTTTATCCTCTGAAGTACAATGCAAGTCTCTTCAACACCATTCTTACATTAATTACAGTGAAGTGTTTTTGTGAGCTAGATCATTGCCTGCTTGTCATATGATAATTCAAGAAGAGATCAGCTTGATAAATTATTTGAGTGTGCAGAGCTAGATTACTGCAAGGCCTTGTCTTTTTTAGTCTAAAAAAATATTTTATAATGCATGCAAAGGAATATAAGTATTATATATTATGTAGAATTCTTATATCATACTATTCCCTCTCCCCCCTGCCAAAAAAAATGCATTCATTCTACTTTGCAAAGTTGCATGCTTCTTATTATA